TGCATAAGAGACCGGCTGAGAAACAGCACCCATATTGGTGCCGCCCGTGCTCTCCCTCGGCCAATACACTTCGAAGTGGTATACTTTGCGCCACTCCAGGTGGTTGAGTCCTCCGGGGCAGGCCCCAGGGTGTTTTCGGCGACTGGATGCCACGGACCCGGCACATAGATCCGAATCCACTCAACGCTTGTGTTCGCGGGGCCATTGACGATGTCGTAGTCAAAGTAGTGTGGCAGGGCCCATCTTGCAGCGCCATACATTGTAGAATTGAACATATCAACCAGGCAAGCCGCTCGAAGTCATAAAGGAAAGCGGCGAACACATGGAGACGGAACGCACAACACCAAGCAAGACAACCCAACATGGAATCGCATACAAAGCAAGCACAACCGCGTCATTTTATCCGACATGTTGCTCAAGTATCACTCCGAATCGTTCCAAGGATCATAGAATGGTGGTGGTGACGGCTCTCGCCACGCCCCATCCGGAACCGATGAGCCCACCGAGGAATTGGCGTCTGCATTCACGAGCATCGCGAGTCCAATGGCTGGTAAAGGAGCTCCAAGTCGTTGATACCCTCGTGTTTGCCAGTCTCGGTACTCCCACACGTGGTAGGACACATACGAACTGGGCGTGACAATGGGATCCGTTGTTGTTCCTCCGGTGCTGTCTTCGGACCAGTACACTTGGAAGCGATATGACCTGCGCCACTCCCGATACGTGGAAGCGTAGACCGGGTCGAGCACTGGAGCATCATCGGGAACGGGTCGCCACGTGCCCGGTGAGTAAATTCGAATCCATTCCACTCCTCTGTCGATCTGGTACTCGAAATATTGAGGGTTCATAGCGGCAAGACAGGCTCTCGCGCGGCCGCTAAAAGCAATCGAAAATCTGCGGCGAAGACACACATGCAATGACAACCGCGCGCAGCTGAAGGGATGCAAGGCAACTTTTCAAACTCAAGGTGAGACACAGCAGCGAGGTTTGTAATATACGACGCCTAAGCTTCACCGCCGTTGATGCCGCGCACACCTGCAATGATAATGTCCTGGTCGTCTACGATCACAAGGGGAAAGACATTTCCGCCCATGGCGCAGGAAGGCATGACAGTAATGCTTGCAATTTGCCGATGGGGACAGCGATGGACGGCCAGCACGTTTGGAGGGGAACACGGTAAAGGGCCGCCGAGATCTCCGCGGTGCCGAAGCGGATGCTGTCCGAGATCGTTTGGATGAACGCCCTGGACTGCGTAGCTCTTCATCACGGGAATGGTCAGTGCTGTAGATCGAGCGGCGTGTGCGCTGCGATTTCGATGTGGCAGGGCAGGATTGTCCGCGAGGAGCTGAGATCGAGGGGCTCCGTACTGAGGGCATAAACTGTGGGTGTAGAATCACCGGTGGTGGTGGCGGTGGAGGAGGCGGAGGTGGAAGAAGCAGTGGGAAACTTGGTGGGGGCGGAGGTGACGTAGTCTGCCGAATGGTTCTGTCAAGCAGGGCTCCAGGTCCGTGAAATTGTAACCACGTCGGCTGCGCTCCATGGGTCCAAGTACTGTACGTCTGTACGACTTGTTCCGACATGATTTGAGCAACTCAGTCATGCATTCAATTCTCGTCAGCAGCAACACCCACAACGGCAAGCAATATTACCCTGGTAAAATGCCAGACAAGTGCAAGCAAGCAAATTGCATGTGATCAATAATGACTACAATCCCAACCGTCGCAACAACCTGCAACGCTAGCCGAATACGCCGCCACGGCCTACCATTTAGTCCTCCGGTGGTCGCTGTTGCATTTGATGACCGGGTTCCTAGCCGCGAGCCTCAAGTTGCTGATAGACCTTCCATGCCTGCTTGACTTCCTCAATGGGCTTCTGAAGGAACCGAGCAATGGTTTGGTAGGTGGGCCTGGAATCCTTGTCTTTCTTCCGTCGCACCATCTCATCCAGCTCACCCTGTGTCCATGCCGTGAAAGGTTCACGGTGTGCATTGCGAAGTGCAATGGTGAATTCTTGTAGAAGTTCCCGAGGTCCATGAACCACCGTAGGAGACGGTCGGAACGACGAGGCACCTGGATGTGGACGCACTGAGCCATCAGAATCCGAGTCAGGTGTCGTAGGCGTCGTCTGTCCTGGTTCTGGTCCGCCGTGTGGGGCTAAGGGAGCAAGCGGCCGAGGTGGTGGCAGGTGATCCAACATCGATTCAGGCCGACGACCAGAAGTGTTGTCAGCGGCATCCCGATGTGCCGCACGAGGCGGGGATAAGGCCGGTATATACCAGGTGGATGAAGTGTCCAAAGGTCGGGTTCGAATTCGAGTAGGAGAGCGGGATCGGTCAGACGAAATGCGCTCTGTGATGATGCGAGGGCGCAGCCCATGTCTGGAGTTCCGTGGTGCCCTGGGAGACACTCTAGTGTCTGACGGATGGCTTCGCTCGGTCATCAGGGCAAAGTTCAGGGTGTCCAGAGCTGTCGCAACTTGGGATGCAAGGACATTGAGTACCGCC